AATAGAACACCTCTCTTCTTCGGAGTTGGTTTAGGAATAGACTCAGTAATTGGAGCAGGAGCTGGCTCAGGAGGTGCCCAATTATTTTCATTTGTCAACATATTATTCAATAGAATTTCAGTTTCATCCAGTGTTCTTTCCCTGAAAAGAGAACCAGCACAACTATCCAGGTAATCTCTGGAAGCATCGGTTAGTCCATTATAAAAGATATCAAGTATTTCAGGTTTATTAAGAGGATGATCAGGCAAATCATTAAGTAACTTGAGAAGCCTCCCCCAAGCTTGTGGGAGACTCTCTTCTTTAATTTGCACGAAGTTGTATATTTCCCTCAAAGCAGCTTGTTTCTTATGAGCAGGGAAATATTTAGCAGAGAAGTAATAAATCATATCCTGGGGACTACACACACAACCAGGATCAAGAGAATTAAACCATATCTTAGCATCACCCTTTAATGAGAACGAAAATATTTTGAGTATATAAAAGTAACGTGATCTCTCATCATTAGTAAACAGGGCGGCTATATCATTTAACTTAGTAAGATGTGCCACAACAGTTTCAGATTCATAGCCATAAAACGGATCAGAATAAACCAAAGTAATTATATCAGGATCAACAGAGAATTCATAATCCTTATCAGGAACACATATAGGTGAAGTAGCAAAAGCAGGGTCGTGTTTCATTTTATCTCTAAGTGATTCTTTGTTCCATTTAACTAATAACCTCTTAAGCTCATATCTATCCCTGCAAGCTAAAATAGCTAAAGAAGATTCTTTATCAAAAACATAACCCTGAGGAATAATAGGCATATTTTCATCATCACTATCATCATCGTATTCTGATTCAATAATTTCTTTTTCTCTAGCCCTAGCAATTTGTTCATCAAGAAATTCACCAAGGGGCACAGTAGTATCAGGCATAGAAGCAGTTTCATCATAAGTATCATGCATAGCAGAAGTGGCATCATCAATAACATGCGACATATCGGAACGAATAGCAGAAACAGGTTTAGGTGTCGCTAGCTTACTCATAACAAAAGGTGAATCAAGTGCAGAGCTAGATGGAAGTTCCTTACCTCCCCTCGTAGTTGAGGGATAAATTGTTGTCTTAGCGTCTTTCAAGTTCTTCATAGTGTCCAGCAGATATAAATCTCAGGTGACCCAAAGAATAGAGCTATGCTCCCCGACAACGGTGCCAGAAATTAGTCTTGATAACCCACAAGTATAGGGGATCGCAACAGCTTTCAAGGGTAGAGTATTCAACCCAAATTTATTGATTCGACACAAGGGGAGCCAAAGAATATTCTCAAGTATTAGCAGCTGAGTTGTCAATTCAACCACACCTGGAAACTTAGTATCTGCAGCAAAGTGTTTAGTAGCACAGTAATACGATAGTGGTGGTAGCAGCAACAAAAGTAAAGACAGCAAAAGTACTGTTTTTGGTATTTTGTAGTGATTGTAACAGTAGCAGCAGGAAAGTAAATAAGCGTAAACCAGTATATGGAAAACTCGTAGGCACCGGATCAGTGATGGATAATTATGCCGGATGCGGTTCACCATGTAACAATCATAACATAGGGTGACATAGAACTAGCTCCAATTCATCAATATAATGTAGGCATGTATTCCGTATATAGTCATACGTGCTTATGGAAAAGAACTTGCATGACATCTTTTGTCCTACCCTCCCGTGGCAGCGGGGTCATATCGGAAACTAAGGGATATTAAGGCCTCCTTTTAATAGAGAACCGGAACAAAGCATTAGCACATAGTGAATACATGAACTCCTCAAACTATGGTTATCACCGGGAGTGGTCCCGATTATTGTCACTTCGGGGTTGCCAGATCATAACACATAGTAGGTGACTATAGACTTGCAAGATAGGATCAAGAACTCACATATGTTCATGAAAACATAATAGGTTCAGATCTGAAATCATGGCACTCGGGCCCTAGTGACAAGCATTAAGCATAGCAAAGTCATAGGAACATCAATCTCAGAACATAGTGAATACTAGGGATCAAACCCTAATAAAACTAACTCGATTACATGATAAATCTCATCCAACCCATCACCGTCTAGCAAGCCTACAATGGAATTACTCACGCACGGCGGTGAGCATCATGAAATTGGTGATGGAGGATGGTTGATGACGACGGCGGCGACAAATCCCCCTCTCCGGAGCCCCGAACGGACTCCAGATCAGCCCTCCCGAGAGGTTTTAGGGCTTGGCGGCGGCTCCGTATCGTAAAATGCGATGATTTCTTCTCTCTGATTTTTTCTCTCCGAAAGCAAATATATAGAGTTGGAGTTGGCGTCGGAGGGCATCCAGGGGGCCCACGAGGTAGGGGGCGCGCCCCCCACCCTCGTGGACAGGGTGTGGGCCCCCTGGTCTTCATCTTTGGCGAGGATTTTTTATTATTTTTTCTAAGATGTTCCGTGGAGTTTCAGGTCATTCCGATAATATTTGTTTTCTGCACATAAAATAACATCATGACAATTCTACTGAAAACAGCGTCAGTCCGTGTTAGTTCCATTCAAATCATACAAGTTAGAGTCCAAAACAAGGGCAAAAGTGTTTGGAAAAGTAGATACGACGGAGACGTATCAGGCGCGCGGCAAAGTACTGCTGTTGAAGATGCTCTTAGATGAAGGTCTGACAACTTAGATAAAACAGCCGCGTACTGCTGGGTTGTGTGCGCATTGTTGGGCTGGCTCACTGGGCTGACTCCTTTGCCCTTTCCCTTCTCCTGTTTTCTTTTCTGATTTTAACTCCCTTTTGAATTTTAAATTGGTTCAAAAACCAGACTTGCTCTAAATTAAATTAGGAAAAATATAAAAAGGTCAAACCCATTTTTTGATATATGGGATTAATTTCCTACCAAATAAAATATATGCCTTATTTGAATATTTTTCCTTTTGATTTTCTTGAACTGATTCAAGAATCAAATCCACTTCAAGTCTTTTGGGAATAATTATCAGAAGCTCAAAATAATATTTAGGACTTGATAAAAAAATTATGCCCAAAATAAATATTTGAATTTGTCACCGTATTTTTGAATATCATTTTATTCCATGAATCTTTAGGATTCAAATTAATTTCCAATTCAACTTTAGGATTTAAAATATTTTTTAGAGTTTATGGACATTTATTTCGAACCCAAAATTTAACAAAAGGTTACAACCCTTTTGCGAGCTCGAGTTTTCGATTTGAAGAATATTCCATATATGACAATTTAGGGTTTCTAAATATCACCAAAACCTTTATTCGAGTGACTTTTGCAATTAGTTCAAACAACTTTTATTCAATCTAGCTAATGGCAAGCAATTCTTAAAAAAACTTCAACTTATTTATTAACGATCCAAGTTTGAAAAAACTTTGGATGTGACTTTTTCTTGTTTTCCCCCTCTAGCCCTAGGTGGCTAGGGCAAACTCCCCCTCTCGACTTCACTGACGAGACCGTACATTCACCTCCCCTCTGGTTGCTGCTACGATGGTCGGTGGCGGGAGGAGAATTCCGGTGCCTTCGCTCCAGTTAGTAGTTTAGGTTAGGTTTTTCTAGTCCTCGCAGTTGCAGCGCTCGGGCGGTTGGTTGCGCTTCTTCTTTGTTGTCTTTCGGGTTTCGATCCTCTTCAAATTTGTCCATCTAGATGTAGTCGATGGAATTCCGCGTAGTTTCTAGCAGTGCCCTTGGGGCGGCGAGGTTAGTGTCTCTCGTCATATGGCGAGATTTGTTGTCAGGTGCTTCAGATATATGTAATGGTTCAATGACAACAATTGTGGCTCCAGAGCGCTGATCCTTAAGGGACGTGCACGAAGACTTTCCGGTTGTCATCGACAAGGTCAAGCCGACTCCGGTAGCGGAGCGGCTACAACGGTGTCGGTGGCTCGCTCCAACGACAGTAGTGGTCGTTCGGTGGTCTCAAAATTTTGATGTAATTTTTATTATGTTTGAGATGCTTTGTACCTTGAGTGGATTTTTATAATAGTTATGATTATATTTTTAAAAGAACTTTGGATGTGACAGCAGATTCAGAGGATGCTTGGATACGTTTTAGTCTCATGACTAAAAATAGTGAGACTAAAACTTGCTAGCCTCACCCATGCTTGAATCCAAATACTAAAGAGATTAAAATCAAGTTAATGAGCATTTATTATCCTCCAAATCCTCCAATCCAGAACTCGCCTGTGTTAAAAGAGAGGAGTTAAATGAGGAGAGAGAAATGACTAATTCACATTTTAGTAGGGGTAACTCTGACTAAAACATTTTAATCACAAGACTAATTTTAGCCCCACTTTAGTCAAGGGTGATTGGAACTTTAGCCTCTTAAAGAGACTATTTTTAGAGGGTGGTTGGATACGTTTTAGTCTCACCCATACTTAGATCAAAATACTAAAGAGACTAAAATCAAGTTAATAAGCATTTATTATTCTCCAAACCGTTCAATCCAGAACTCGCCTGTGTTAAAGAAGAGGAGTTAAATGAGGAAATAGAGGACTAACCCACATTTTAGTAGAGGTACTCCTGACTAAAAAATTTTAGTCTCAAGACTAGTTTTAGCCCCTCTTTAGTCAGAGGTGCTTGAAACTTTAGCCTTTTAAAAAAAATATTTTTAATCAGACTAAAATAAATCCCTTGGATCCAGACACCCTCTTAATCAGACTAAAATAAGTCTCTTAATTATCCAAGCACCCTCTCAGAACCGGAGCGATCTCCAGTTCGCAGCTACACTTTGAAGATGAAAACTGCGCACATGCACGCAAGGGAGAAGAGTCTCCCGTGGCGATTTCCTGGCCCCGCACTCCACAGCCTCACGTGGCGCGCCGAGCGCGCCCACGGTCCACGTACGCAACCCCGACGCGGTGCCCCCACCCCACCCCAAACAAACAACACGAGCAAGCAAAGCCTAGCCGCCGCCCTTCCCCCTTCCCCGTCTGACTTTTTCTCCAAGTTCAACTCCGCCGCCCGCCCCCTCTCCCCGATCCCGGGAGAGAGATAGAGATGTCCTGGCGGTGGGCTCTGGCGCGGCGCGTCGCCACGCTCGTCGGCGGCGGCACCGGCGGCCCAGGCGCCGCCCAGGCGCAGAGGCTCTTCTCCTCCTCCGGCGCCCTCCCGGGGAGGCTCCACCCTGCGCCGCCTCAGATTCGGAACAAGGTCCCCCTCCTCCGCGCATTAACCTCCCGTCCTGGCCCTAGGCGGTCTTCGTAGTGCGTTGTGGTGCCTCGCTGTCGTCTCTGACCCTGGCCTGTCCAGGTGGCCGCGGCGGAGCTGCCCGCCAAGTGTTTGTGTATATGCCACCGACTAGTGCAGCTCTGCGGCTGAATCCCGTGGAGTCATGCTCCTAGCTGCAAATTGCCGGCGCGCACACTAATTTGTGCTAACTGGTGATTTTGAGTTACTGATTTTAGCAAGTCGCTCAGGTGCATAGTGGTTACGTTGCAAAAGGCAAAGAGAATCAAGGCGAGCAGAAATAGTAACCGCTCAAGTTGTTGTAACTTCCTAATGGGATTGGCCGATTAGGTGTCCACGTGTTATTGAACTGTTCATTGTATTTGCCTTCTGTTATGCTGATAGGTTCTGTACTTTTGGTGTGGATTAGTAGGTGGTGGGTTGCAGAGGAGCTGCTTTCGTGAACTCGCGGTGGCTGCATGATGCCACCCAATGCCAGACTCGCCAGGACGGAGTTTCGAGGGCTGAAGTAGGTGAACCCTTTATTTGTTTGATGATTTGCCTTTGTGCTGCTCGTTTGTTATGTTAATGATCTTGTCATTGTACCTCTTTTGTCAGTCAAACATCTAGAGCCCAGCTTAATAAATAAACTAACTGTGCATCACTATTCACTATTCACCGCTGGGAAAAACACATCAGTGTCCTGCTACAGTACATGCCAGCTGAATACATGATTATGAACTGAAATATGGGACATGTCTAGCAATTAAACATAGATATCAAAACTAAGCTGTTGTACAACCAACACATAGTTCCACACATTACCTGCTACCCATAGGATTGTGAAGCGTTGCCACCCTGACGGCTCCCATTTGTTTGTGTCATTTTTGCTGATACACTGTGCCCTATGAATGGCTTCTTCTTTGATAACTCTGCCTGTCAGTTATTCTATGCATTGGTTTTCATGAAGATTAAATGCACCCAAATTCTAATTCTCTGTCGCAAAATCAAAAAGTAGGATGTCAATGCATCAGATGAAATGGGCCTTCAGTTGCTAATTGATAAATCGACTTGTTATGCAGCGGAATATGTTGTGCCTGGAATGGAATCAGATTATAGCCTAGCAAGACAACCGTGCATTATACATTTATACTGTACATAAATTTGAAACTTAAATCAAGTGATTTTTTCCGCTTTATCAGACAAATGTATGTTTGATATTCCTGGGCCCTGGCCAGTTGTTCTTCAACATAGAAGCTGAAGAAAAACTGGCTGAAGGTCCCCTCAGCTATGTGATTATGCTGTCCGTAATGAAGGATAATGATGATCAGTTCTAACAATGAATAACAGCTGAAATCCTCTTTTTTTCTTAATGCACGTGAATGCTAATCATGGAAAGTGTAGTGTATTGCTGTTCCCTGATGAGAAAAATTCTTCTTGCTCCCAGGAACAACAGGATCCATTTGAATTGGTTGCTGATGAACTATCGATTCTTGGAAATAGACTACGGTCCATGGTGGTTGCTGAGGTTAGTAGTGCATCCTACTCATGTCAACTCTCTGTGGTGTTAGGCTGCTGCTGTCATGGTGTTTGGATGTTTCTTTTATCTAGTGATTACCACATTGTCAAACATACCCAATTTGCCTAACTGAGTACTTTCAGGTCCCTAAACTAGAATCAGCTGCTGAATATTTTTTTAAAGTAGGAGCTGAGGGAAAAAGATTCCGACCTACGGTAACATCTTAATCTCCTTTTTTAGTCAATATTACATCATCACTTTACTCTATGATTTCTTTCTATCCTATCTACTTTGTGTGCACTGAATGCATTTATTTACATTGGCAGGTTTTATTGCTGATGGCATCAGCTCTGAAATTCCCAATACCAGAATCGACAGATGTTGGAGTTTTCAGTATATTGGCAAGTAAGCTGCGCACACGGCAGCAAAACATTGCCGAGATAACTGAAATGATCCATGTTAGTATGGTGCCTGACCATCAGACCCAGTATGTTTTATTTTTTATTTTTTAATCTGACATCTATTACAGGTTGCAAGTCTTCTTCATGATGATGTTCTGGATGATGCTGACACTAGGCGAGGTGTCACTTCATTGAATTGCATTATGGGCAACAAGGTACTGTATGCCACACCATTCAACATTCAGTATACTAGGTGAATCAACTAGGTCCTCACATTAAGAACTACAAATTACTTTAGTAGTTAGCACACAATGAAAAGCTTGATCTTCCAGTAAAAAGTGCTGCACCACAGCAGAAAGTTTACCTGGCTTCATTTTTTAAGAATTTTTCGTGGAGGTACTGCAGTCAGAATCATCTTGGCATCGGTATTCATGAAACTCTTATGTGTGCAGCTTTCTGTTTTGGCTGGTGACTTTCTCCTGTCCAGAGCATGTGTGGCACTTGCAGCACTTGGGAATACAGAGGTACATTATTTATTTATGCTAAGATAGATTGCTGTACGTATCCTGTAGATTGTTTTAATGATGCGGAAATTAAAGTGGTTTTGATTTATGCTGGTCACTAGATATGTTTGATGAGCATCAGCACACAAGTCTGCTCTTGTATTATTTTTAGTTTCCGCTTGGCATAATCATTATGTCCTTGATTTCTTTACTCCTATAAAGACGTCAGTCTGTGATGGTTGTGTGTTCACCTCCTTTCCCCTCCTGATGTAAGCCGTTAGATTTGTTGCAAATGCCTGAAATGGCGGTCCTGTTTGCTACCAAAGTAGGGTAGCCTGACTTGTTTTATCATGGCAACATATTGGGTGGTCTTGTTGTTATATCTGTTTCAATGCTGGAGTATTTAGCTAGTTAATACTAGGCTGTCAGTGTCATTTCTTAGGGAATCATTTTTCTTGTTTTCTCCATTCCAAGCTTATCCATCCTAATGGTTTATCATTCAAGATTGTCCTGTATGGTTGCAGTTCTGACCTGCTCTCTTTCTTGCAAGTCTTATATGGTAACAAACTTTCAATTGATCAACCTAACTTATGCAGGTGGTATCTCTAATGGCAACTGCAGTTGGACATCTAGTTACTGGTGAAACTATGCAAATGTCAACAAGCAGAGAGCAACGGCGAAGGTTAAATAATGCTTCTCTATCATGACTAAATGTTCATCACATCTAATGCCTAAAACCAAGAGATGCAGAATAAAATGCTTGGACATATTTGGTTTTTTGTTTACTCTGGTTTCTCCATTTTTTATGCCATTGTTTGTTGGTTCTGATACGATTCTGAAAAAAATACGCAGTATGGAGTACTACTTGCAGAAGACGTACTACAAAACAGCATCATTGATATCAAACAGTTGCAAGGCTGTTGCTATTCTTGCAGGGCACACTGCTGAGGTTTCAGTGCTTGCATACGAATATGGTCGAAACCTGGTTCGTAAAACATCTCTCTTTTCTGGAATTATTTCCCCTTCTGATTTAATCCTGTAAAGCACTGACTTGATTAATTCGATATCATTGCAGGGTCTAGCCTTCCAGTTGATCGACGATGTTCTTGATTTCACAGGAACCTCTGCTTCACTTGGGAAGGGTTCATTATCTGATATTCGTCATGTAATAACAGCCATCCTCTCTTTTTTGTTATATTTTATTTACAGTATTCATCATCTGAAATAGCTGTTTGCCTCCCAGGGCCAGCTACTTAGATTGTTTCTCAGTAGGACAGATCTACACAAAACTTTGCTGGCTAACAATAGTGCTACATCGGCTGATCGGCATAGACTGCTTGTCTGACACGGAAGCTCGTGTTGCTGTAATTATGTTAGCCACTGTCTTGAACTTGCCACCCTCATGCCAGACAGATAGAATACTCTCACATGAAAAACTTGCATAATGGTGTTCTCTTTCAGCCTTCATTGACCTATCACAATTAAGTTAACATATTAGAAGTGTAGAATCTACTATTGACAACGTAGATAAGAAGGATGTTCTGAACCCTACTGCTTGCAAAACTAATTGTGTATGTGGCCAGCCAGTGCAAATTAGATGCAAAATTTAGTTAACAAAGAGCTCTTGTGTTCAAGGGGAGCCTTGGCGCAGCGGTAAAGCTGTTGACTTCTGACCATGAGGTCACGTGTAGTCCTTGAAACAGCCTCTTGCAGAAATGCAGGGAAAGGCTGCGTACAAAAGACCCAAAGTGGTTTGACTCTTCCCCGGACCCTGCGCAAGCGGGAGCTACGTGTATTGGGCTGCCCTTTTTTTTAGAGAGCTCTTGTGTCAAAATTAAAATACTTGCTTCTTTTTATGATCACCTACTTTGTGAAATTACCAGCATATCCAGTTAGAGGGTCCTCAAACAAGGATGTGGCGCTTGTTTTTTTGCATTACATAATGGCATTCATGATGCAGGGAATCATTACTGCTCCAATGCTATATGCGATGGAAGAATTCCCACAACTACAAGATGTCGTTGACCAGGGTTTTGACAATCCTGCAAATGTTGAGATCGTGAGTAGTTATTTTATGTAAATAAAAGAATGGATGCTGTTTTGACCTGTATTATGACCTGACATAGCAATCCATACTTGCAAACTATAGGCCTTGGACTACCTCCAGAAGAGCCGGGGAATCGAAAGAACAAAAGAGCTTGCGCAAGAACACGTTAACCTTGCGGTCAAAGCCATCGAATCTCTCCCAGACAGCGACGATGAAGATGTTCTGATTTCAAGGCGCGCTCTTATTGATATCACACAGAGAGTCATCACAAGGACAAAATAGCATGATTATACACAGGGTGGAGAAGATAAGGCGGAATTTCGCCACAGGTGTAGTGTTCCGCTTGGAAATTTTTGGTCGCCTTGGTCATTGCATTCTTTCCATTGCCCGGGTTTTGTGTAACATTTGATGAGACTTCAGGGTAACCATTCCTGGGAATCATCCTAAGTCGCAGCTGTAGTGGTTTTAGTTACTGGTGGCAGCAGAATCTGTGTATTAATATCACGATTGGCGATTGCACGATGACCTGATCATAAGACTGTAACCTTATAAATCGAAGTATGTAACACTATATACGAGGAAAAAGTAACCTGCTTGTGTTGAGAAAACCATGTTCTTCCATATGTTGACCTAGTAATTTTTGCTATCTTTACCCTTAATTTTCCTGAACTGGACTACATCGTCTCAATCTTGGGGCATTCTAGGAGCTTTGTATATTTGGTTTGATATGCAAATGTGTTCAATCCTCCATGACAAAACATTACAGTGGAAATAAATGTTGATCTGGACATATCATCAATGGGCAACTTCAAATCTAACTTCTTTCTCTTCTTTTGAGTGGATGACCTGAGAGTTGAGACCTAATGTGGGCCTTCAAATGATCAAATCCCATCATGCTTCTGCCACTGCTAATGAATGCTAGGCCTGGCTCCAGAACCTCTCCTTGGCCCACGCGATCGCCTCGTCCACGGCGGCGGCGCCGACGCTGTCGATGTCGCCGTCGTCCATGAGCAGCGGCGCCCGCTCCCTCACCTCCATCATCATCGCCTCCTGCATCACGGCCTCCTCCAGCCGGTGCGGGCGCGGCTGCGGCGGGTTGCCGAAGAGCGACGACGACGCGGCCGAGGACGGCGAGTAGTAGTAACCATAGTCGTCGGCGGCGCCAGAGCACTCGGTGCTGGTGTCGGCGGCGTAGTCTGGCGCCGGTGACCGCGCCCTGCCGCGCCGCTGCGTGCGCCGGAAGCTCGGCTCGCGGCTGCTGGTCTCCGGGTTCGACGTGAAGCAGCAGAAGCCGCTGCTCGCGCCGCGGTGGTGCCGCGACGAGGAGCTCTCAGCGGCGGCGCCGTTGTTGCTGACCGCGGACGACGCCGCGCTGCTGGCGCTGTGGTTCGTCCAGTCGCCGCCGTTGCCGTAGTAGTAGCGGCACGCCGGGTACGCGGCCGTCGAGCACGTGAAGCTGCTCTGGTACTCGGCTCGCGTCGACACGCTCGACGGCGGCGACGAGTCGTACCGGCGCGACGGGATCGCAATGGGCCTGCAAAACGACGGCTATGATCGTCAGAATGATGATCGAACAATGCAACGTGCTTGTGCTGTCACGTGACCAAAACCAAATGCTTCATGCATGCGCACGAATCGTCTGGCTCACCTGAGCTTGGACGCGAAGGAGGAGAGGGCGGCGTCTCCGCGGGCGTTGCCGGTGGCCACCTGCCGGAAGGCGGAGCGGCCGGAGCCGAACTCGTCGGAGCTGATCACCGACGAGGACTTGGTCGACTTGGACCTCGACCTCGACCGCACCTGACGGGCGCGGGCGCCGAAGATGTCGTCGAAGAAGCCCTCCTCGGTGGGCACGGCCGCCGACGCCGGCCTGCCACGGCGGCACAAGGCGTCGGCGCCACCGCCGTAAGAGTAGTACGGGTACTGGCCGGCGTGGCCGGCCGCCGCGGCGTGGTAGTCAGCGGCGGCTGCGTCGCCGCAGAAGCTGCTGAGGAGCACGGTGCGCGGCGGGCCGCCGAACACGTCCCGGAAGTCGTCGGGGGCGAGGCTCTTCTGGCCGTCCGACGAGCGCTGCCGCGGCAGCACCGCGCCCATCGTGCACCTCCATGACTCGTCCATTGCCACCGACCGATCACACGCACCAGAGCACACCACTACAAAACTATAGCACCACTATGCTCGATCGTGTGAGGGCTTTGTGCTTCTTGGTGTCAGAGGAGATGGAGCTCCTATGATGATTTATACAAGAGACAAGCAGGGCGAGTAGGTTGGAAAGATGGGTGCTTTTGGGCCGTTGGATGCGTGTATATATAGTGCCCGTTTTAGTGCCACTTACGTACTGTAGCCAGGTACAGTTAGTACGGACAGGTACTAATCAGCGTCGCCATTGCATCCTAACTTTGCAGTGAAGAACTCGCTGAAGATCAATTACAGTTCTAAGATTTCACATTTCTTTGGCAGAAAACAGTCACAGAACATTGCAGATTTTATTCATTTATTGTAATGTTTTTGACAGGACGTTTATTTTGTAAAAAAAACAGTTTAATTGATTGTAGTTTCATTTTGCTTGTGGGTGGTCAAAATCACATGTTAAAATGGTCCAACGTCTGCATGATTAAGCACTCTGATCGCCACAATCATGCACCGATGCTTAACTGAAAGACCAACACTTTAACCACTGCACAGTTGTCAGTTAAACTGACAGCTCCTTGTTCCGTGTTGCCTAGCTGTTGTGTTGTTGTATATACCTTCCAGTATATTAGATAAGATAATTGATGCGTGCAAGAGGGGAGTAATTAATCGATTTTAAGATATGATGGCATCACTTTTAGTCGAGGGGAGGAGGCATGTGAGATGGGATGATCATGTTTTGCCGCCCCCTTTGCAGACACGGCATCATGGTGGTTGATCCATTGCCCCCAAAATCCAATCTCCTCGAGCTTTTTTCATGCCAGAAAATTCCACTGCCTTTTCCACTTGACCTGAGACATGGCCTCCTTTATGTTCTTGTTAATGGTTTCCCTTTATGCTGGTGCTTTGCACACTAACTATTGTATTAGTTACAGGGAGTAGAAAATTAATTGAGGCGTAAATAACTATCCAGTTCAAAGATCAAAAGGTGCTTTTTTTTAATAGGAATTTAAATAACCTCAGGCCCCGAAAGATCGTCATTTTTTGAATCATAGTCTCCAAAGCGTAATTTTGGCCACTAACGTATATTAGAATGCACTTATATATAACTCGAGAATATCGTATGCTACTGAAGCGTTTTATGAGATAAATTTACGCATATGACGGTTCGTTTCGAAAGTTTAAATATGTCTCGCCAACACTGTGCTCCTCTGAGGCCTGGCATGTTTTCTGAAATTCATCTTCATGCATTAATATGTTGCTCTTTATCTGATTTTTTGTCTATACTCCATCCATCTGTTCCTTTATCTGAGGCAAATTTTGACTTTCTAAATTCAGGCTTTGACCAAGAACGAGTCAAATGATATGAGGACTGTGTTACACAAAATTATGTTGTATTCGTCTTTAAAAGTAATTTTCCTGAGTTGTGACTGTGATTTTGTAACCCTTAACAAAGTATTATACTGAAAAGACAGCATTTGCATATATAAAAACAGATCCAGCGGTGATGGAAAAAGCTACTAGGCAGAGACAGATCGAAGTGGTTACTTATTACTCCAGCTCAAAGTGGTTATATTAATTACTCGAGCCGGTGTCATGCATAATGTGTGTGCTAATTAATCTCAGCAGCGGTCAGTTCAGTCAAGTTGAAACAAAAGTAGTAGCAAGCAGTTGAGAGTCGAGACACTACAACTCAGTAGCAGCTCATGACCGAGGTGCAAATCATGTGGAGCTTGCTTAAAGCTCTAGGCTAGGGAGCTAAAAAGGCGCACTTTGTGCTCCGCAGATGCACCTATCAGGCTTAAACAAACCAAAGGAAATCTTTGGCAGAATCACATAAAAACTTTGTTTATGCGACATTCCAAGATCCAAATCCAACGTCGCCTCCCTGGATGATCCATGCAGAATGTATGCTAACAAATGCAGCAGCTCAGCATCTATCCGTATATGAAATTCTGAATTGTTATGAGCGTCTTTCAGGACCCATGGTAAGCAAAGTGGAGCTTAGGTGAAAGCATACTCATTGGCTACACATCACACAGATCGAGTTGCTTCGTTCCCAAACCATCTCTTTTTTTTCATTCCATGGGCCCCCCCTTGTGTTCTTCATCGGCTGCTGGTCTAGAAGAACAGAAGAGATCAGGTTTCTGTCCGTCTGTGTTTCTTTCCGTTCGTCGGGCATCATGGATCCGGGTCAAATGTCGAGCTTGACCGGCTCCATGAGCGTGTCTGCGCTTTCCGGAGCAGGTTCAGATAAAACGCATCGATGCTTTCAGAATTCAGATTCAGGCGTTCAGGTCCAGATAGGGCGAGTGAGCAGTGGCTGCATGCATGCATGCAAAGAAGAGCAGGGCGTGAGATGGATCGACGGGGGAGGGAAGCTCGCGGACAGAGAAAAGATCATTCCGAATGATGATCCGGTGTCCCACAAGGCGCGGGCGGGCGGGCGAGCGAGCGCTGCTTTTGCCGCCGACGCCGCGCAGTGATGCGCATGATTTGCTCGTGTCCGGTGTCCCCTCCGGCTCCGGCAAAAGGTCGCGCCCGGCGAGCTTGGCCTTGGCAAGGAAAGGAGGAGGGCTGGAGGAGCACTGCAGCAGCAGCAGCGGCTTGGCCTGGGCGGGCTTTATCTCGAGCGATTCTAAAGGTAAAGAGAAGCACAAGGATTGAAGAAGGAGTTGTGCTATACACACGACAAGTTTTGCACGATAGATAGACGATGATACACACGAGAAGAAACACTGATTACTTGTAGTATAATCTAAGCGAGGCGTCCAATCATAGTTGCTGCAATGAATGAATCTCCCTGACTCCTGGTTAGATTCTTGTCCAATCATCTCTGACGATAAATGAATCTCTCACTTTCCTCTGTTGTTGCAGTTTTTTCAGCAAAAGGAACTTGCTGCAATATGTGGGAATTGCTGAAACCAATGGAGGTTTAGCGAAATTCCACGAGGCCGCTAGCTATTATGACAGTGTTTGCCCCATGCCTGGTCGTGTCGTGCGAGTAGGGACGACAGGCCTAGCTGGTTTGCATATATCCGAGTTGGCATCCAAGGCAGCAGCCACGTTGGCCTGGCAAGTTTTTACTTGACACGATGTACCAACTTTGGGTAAAATCTGACAGAAAAATTTATATGTGCAAGCACTGCCACAAA